ATATATATATATATATATATATATATATATATATATATATATATATATATAAACAAACAATGAGTCATTCAGTAAGATCAAGTGTTAGTTGTTACATAAAAGACAGTCTCTTCAAGCACTGTCCACCAGGCTAGTGAAATCAACCAATTTGATGCGCTTTTTAAAAGTGTGGAATGATTCAGAAGATCGAATAGATTTGTCGAGTTTGGACCAAATGACAGGGCCTAAATAAGTCAGGCTAGGTTTGCCATGAGCAATAGTCCAAAATCTGGGTATGGTGAAATCAGAATTTCTAAGGTGATAGAGGCAAGGCTTTGACGGATCAACGGTCAATGGTAGTACAATATGGGGAGGCGCCACCTCCCCAACTCTCCCTACTAAAGATATCGCCCCAGTCCTAAGACGATTAATCAGTGTTTTCTGCACAAAGCTAACAAAATGCTTGCATGATATGTTGTTCCTAAACATCTTATGGGGTGAGTGGTCGGGATCGTAGTGCTCGCCTCTAAACGAACCCTTAAAATGTTGGAAATACGGGAAAATAGAGACTTTATCTTTGATCTACTCCAAGACATCGGTTTGAGTCGCCATCTCATTGTACAGCATTTCGTCCCAGGTTGCTCACGAGTGATAGCTTTATCGAATTCTTCTTCAAATTCCCAAGCCCATGAAATGATTCCCTAAGGAAAAGCATCAATATACAAAAGGTATTACTCATACGGGCGAAACCTCAAAGTAGTCAGGAGAGAGATGACAGCTCCGACCCAGTAATCCTGGGAGGGTAACCAGAGACCCTGTTTTCAAAGCTATCAAAACTCCGAGACTATCGAGCTTATTACTAAGGGAGAAGAGAAAAACACTCACACAACACGTATTCAACTCAGGGTGCGTTTATTTAACAAACCAAAAAGCATATAGAAATTATTCCAGCAAATACTTTGACTATGGCAAAGTCTATTCGTTACTTTGTGGTTGACTGAGACGTTCCATTCTTCTCCTGCATGGCGAGATCCCTTTTCCTAGTATTAAACAATCTCTTGAAGTGGCCTTGCTTACCACAGTAAAAACAACTTAAGGCAAGCCCTGGATTTCTTGGGAAATCTCGGGAATTGCGCCCCCGATTTCCCCTGTAATAAGGGGACATAGCAGTGGCCCTGTCACGGTTCCTCTGGCGACAGTGCTTCTCCACCTTTGCCACACAATCAAAGATTTTTTTGTGGTCTTTGTGGCCCAAAAGGCGAAGTAAGAGGCTCCTAAACTGGTCACTGGGCACAGAGAGAACTCTCCACGGACGACTTAGTCATGGTTTCCATGGCCTTGTTAAGTTTGAAAACTTGACCCTTGAATCCCTGAAGCAGAAAAAACAGGTTCGAGTCAACAAACACCCTTTGACTCAACACAATTTATAAACTATCACAACTTCTCAACTCGTTTAAACTTCATTCCAAGAACTATAGACGTCATAACAATTCATGTCCCGATATTGACAGGGGAGCAAGCATGATAAAATTTACCCTTGTGTCTAATGTATACACAAGGTATTCTACCAGCAATTCAGTAAGAAACGCTTGCTCCCCGTGACTACCCACAGCATAAACATACTCCGTCACATACAGAATACACCTCACCTCACCAGCACATGACATATTTGACACGTCTAATGAAAGGTCAGCCCGGGCTTCACACGGTACAAATATTCCATGTAAAAAATATATATGGACAAACTTGGTGAATTCTGCCCTTGTGAATACACAAACACGGCTTATACATATTCCGTAAAAGGGATATAACCTGGTGAGCAGAAAGAATTCACCCCTGTAACTACACATGGCGTAAGTATATTCCGGAAAGGAATATGCCCGGAGAACTTTTGCCCCCGTAACAACACACGGTGTGTACTTATTCCATAAGGAATATCCGGGAAAAACTCGCCCCTTTGACCACACCCGGTGTAGACATACACGAAAAGGAATGTACCCGGTGAATCCTCGCCCCTGTGGATACACACGGCGTATACATATCCCGTAAGAGGAATATTCCCAGTGAGAAAACGCACACATCCCCGTGGATACACACGGCATATAAATATTCCGCATAGGAATATATCTGGCGGATCCTTGCCCCCGTGACCACACACGGCATATACATATTCCGTAAAGGAATAATCCTGGTGTAAAAATATACTCGACGAATCCTCGCCCCTGTGACTACACACGGCGCATGCACATTCCGTAAAGGAATAGTCCTGGTGAGAAAAGTCACCCCTGTGACTACACACGGCGTATACATATTCTATCAAGAAATATTCCTGGTGAAAAAACGTATCCTCACGAATAAATAAATATATGAAGAGAATCCACTACGAGGGCAAGAAACTGTCCCTTGGGAAAGAAAATCATTCACTCGAATTGCAAAAATGAGTAAAAATTAGCAAAATTAGCAAAAATATAAATGTAATGGTTAAGTTGAAATATTATGTATCAAAAGCAACACTTATTAGTGTGTATTACTCTCTTATTTATCCTTACCTTACCTATGCTTGTACACTTTGGGGAAATAATTATAATGCTCCATTGTCTCAAATCGTAAAATTACAAAACAAAGCGGTTCGTGTTATAAATTATGTTCCTTTAATGGAATCAATAACTCCTCACTACTCATCCTTAGGCTTTCTGAAATTTCCTGATATTGTTAAACTGAACACGTGTATGCTCTTNGGTTCGACCGGACTGTTAGCTTCGTGGACAATAGATTAAAGAACGAGAAATATGAAATAGGCATGATTATTTCCACCATGATAAGTTTCCTAATTTACCTGTTTCACTAGTATCTGAACTGCATAATTACAGTACCCGTAGTGCATCATCCAACCAAGTTGCAATACCTTCATTTCGAACTAATCTTAGGAGATTTTGCCCCAGCATTATTGGAAGTTTCTTTTGGAATAATATTCCGCAATCCATTAGAGACAAACCACCTAAAAAACGTTTAGAAAAGAACTTTTGCGCTGGTACCTTGTTCAATACTAATGAAAACATTATCTCTTTATAACTTTCTGAGCTTTTTTGTCATTTTTCCTCTTCTTTTTCTTTTTCTTTTTATCAACAATCTCAAGTTATACATAACTTTTAGGGACACAAAATTAGTTTATCTCGATGTGCCCCTCTCCTCTCCTTCCAATATATAATGTAATTCAATTTAAGTGATGTAATTTCTGTTTTAAAGCGTTT